TGTTCGACTGTTGACCTCTATTCCAAAGCTGTGTCATAAACAGAGAGAATGTAATGAATTCACTCAAGGCTTCATCTCAAACTAAAATACATAGAAGTAACAGGAAACGCTGATATATTTAGAATATGTGACTGTGTTCCTGTCTGACACCATTGTGTGGGTTATTCGCAATTGAAAAAGTCTGATAACCAAGACAAATTAAAGGAATAAAAAAAAAAATAACTTTATAGGGTTACTCCACGTACCATGAATATGTCAGTGATTTGAAGTGGTCATGGTACCAAGAGCGCTATGAAACGCTGCCCATATAAAGGTGAGCCCCTCTGCTGCCGGAGGTGTAACTCCTCCTCCTCTGTCAGGGTCATTGGAGCATCCTTAGCGAGTCTGGAGCAAGTATTCAAGAATGGCTAATGTCATTTCTGTGCATATTTGGCATCTGATGTCAGCACACACAGCATGTTGGTGATAGACAGCCCAAGTCCTCCCCTTGGCATGTCCTCTCCTTATATCCCTCCCATAGCAGCTAGGGGTAGTGACGTCATTGGAGGGCAATTGGGGTTAAGGAAACGTGACCTTGTCACTGGAAAGGAAGGTGAGTTTGAGCATTTTTTGTGTGGGTGTTGTTTTTGGAGGGGTGGTTGAGGGGGAGGTTGCAAGAGGTACTCTACCAAATACAGTGTTTTCTGAAAACATTTTTTTGCTGTTGATAAAACCCTGAGAACAATTCAGGGCAAACCAAAACATGCAGCACGATTAAAAAACAGCAGAATTTGAGAACTTTTCCGAACTGGTAATTGTGGCCTAATATATGCTGGTAATATATATATATATATATAAAAAAATATATATAAATTATGATGGTGAACCTATATTATGGGAAAATAATGCTGTCAAGGGATATATATTACAGACTGACATCATAAAAGTACTCTGAATCCTTTAATCACAGGACAGCACCTGCACTTACCGTGTTTCCCCGAAAATAAACCCTACCCCGAAAATAAGCCCTAGTCGGATTTTCGGGTGGGCTGCAATATAAGCCCTATCCCGAAAATAAGACCTAGGCATTGTACCTTTGCGGCAAGACTTCCTTCTTCTACTGTAGGAGGAGCGTTGCGGGCCGCGTCATCGCGCAACGTGATGACGACATTTCGCAGCGCCGTCAGTCTGCCTTCACGGATCTTCAGCGGAAGGATCCATTTCCGGGCGGTGAGGCTCCCAGTGGTCGGACTCGGCAAGGAATCTTTGAAATGTGAGTACCGCTAGATATTTTATGTCTGGGATTAATTGAATTAATTAAAGGGGGCGGGGGTGAATTAATTAAAGGGTGGGCTGGATTAATTAGAGGGGGGTGAATTAATTAAAGGGTGGGCTGGATTAATTAGAGGGGGGTGAATTAATTAAAGGGGTGGTGAATTAATTAAAGGGTGGGCTGGATTAATTAGAGGGGGGTGAATTAATTAAAGGGGTGGTGAATTAATTAAAGGGTGGGCTGGATTAATTAGAGGGGGGTGAATTAATTAAAGGGGTGGTGAATTAATTAAAGGGTGGTGACTGGATTAATTAGAGGGAGGGGGTGAATTAATTAAAGGGGGGTGAATTAATTAAAGGGTGGACTGGATTAATTAGAGGGGGTGAATTAATTAAAGGGTGGGCTGGATTAATTAGAGGGGGTGGATTAATTAGAGGGGGGTGGATTTATTAAAGGGGGGGTTTAATTAAAGGGGGGGTTCAATGTACATACCGGTACCGTAAATAAATAAGCCCTACCCTGAAAATAAGCCCTAGTGTGTTTTTTGTGACTAAAATTAATATAAGACCCGGTCTTATTTTCGAAGAAACATGGTACATTTCCTGGTGTATCTAAGATTGATGGGAGTTACACTCCAAGGCAGCAGCCGCCATTAATTCACCTCCTCTCCCAATATTACATCGGCTGAGCGGGACTGTGAGGGACATCACCATCTTTGTATTATAGGTCTAAAAAAAAAAACGTGATCTGTCCGTTTATGTGTGAGGTTGGGGACAATAAAAACGGTAAGTGGGGAAGGGATATGGAATTACAGATGCCAACTCTACTTTAAAATAAAAAAATAGATCATACAGACTCAGGCAAGAATACCTACTGTATAAATCAGAGCTGGGTAATCTACACAGGATGTGTAGACAGGCTATTTAACAGTAGGGAGGAGTAGTTATGTTTGTCTTCATATACAAGAAAGTATGCGGCCCTGTCAACACGAATAATAAGTTGAGAATTGAAAGAGCTGAATAATTGTAAACACAAAACACAACTAGGGAGCGGCAAAGACTATTGTCTTATTCTGACCACGAATAATGGTTTAAGTCCAACTGTTGCCGTCATGTTACGGCATTTACACACAGACACTACCCTAAATTTCAAGCAACAGGTTTTGCAAGTAAAGAGGAATTAGTTATAGTACTTCGTAGAGAGAATAGATTTTTCTTTGTCTTGGACTAGGGTATCTGGGTAGGTTGAGGCTACCAGGGGATTTGGCCAACTGGGTCATTCACTAGAGTGTGAATTGGCAGTAATTCAATAAAAATACAAAAATAACTCGAAACATACTTCTAAGTCAGCTACGTCCTCAGTTTGAGTATTTTGGTCCAAAACTTTCACATTTCACATTGCATTCCTGGCATCAGTGAATAGCTGTTAGTGATTGAGTTAATCTAAAAAGGAATAGTGGGCTGAATGAGTTTTGGGCTGAATTTGACTAAGTAAAGTGCATGGACTATAGCCAGAGGATGTCAATAAAATACAAATTTGCTGCAAAGTTAATATCAATGCTAAAAATCTATCCCACCAAGAGAATATCTATCAAATGCAACTTTATTCCACCACCAAAGTGAAGTGGTCCTGGCAACATTGTGACCTTTATGGCCTCTCAAGCTTCAGAGAATATTGTCAGAAGTACATGGATGGAAGAATAAAGTGATTTTAAAAACAATCAAGCTGCCACTGTGGTGGTTTAACATTTTTCAAGAATGTTATTTTAGCCCCAATTTTCTCTGTAGACCTACGTGAGGCGATCCCAGTGTTTCGTGGCATCGTAAAAAATAAATAAATAAGGTAGGAACGGTTACGCAATATCCTGCATGCAGGTGAATACAATAACATTTTAAACGTATTAGAAGGGTCATATATATTGTTTTTGCCTGATTATTTGGCACATATACAGAAACATTAAATTAACATCAGGAATTAGCCTTGCAATCTGATAGTAACATTTCCTTATCTCTGAGTGGTTCAATAATCTCTTATCTACCATTCCAACACCTTATTAAGTGTATGTAGTGCCAAAATAAAGAAAGGAGAGAGAGAGAGAGCAAAGGGGAGAGGGGAGAGAGATATGCCCTTTGCCTTCAAGAGGAAATAAGCGATTATGCTGCCATTAAGTAATTCAAATCTTTCTACAATGTGACCTTTCACCTGTTAAATAAAACACTTGGTTTATTCACTAAACGTTGAATTGTACTGGATTAAAAACCATATTGCAAACGTTAGGCTCAAACAGCCAAGATGAAGTATTGGAGAATGTTTAAAAATGTGCTCTTTTGGACTGACTGTTACAAAACACTGTTTAGAGAATAGACTGCCTACATCTAACCTACTTAGATATAAAACAGGTTAATCTTGCTACTAATAAAACTGCACACATCTAAATCTACTCCTAAAAGTACTAAGGAACTAACTCCCATGGTGTTTTGCTAGCCATTGGGCTAACAAAGCTTCATGTGAGTGATTTCACAACAGGAAAATAACAACCCTTTAGCAACTCAAAGTCACAGAACAGAAAAAAATTTTAATACCAATCGGGGTTACCTTTCAGGAACGGTGTCCCACACTATTATAAGCTATGACATACAATTGGGATTGTCCCCAAAAAGTGAAATAATGAACGCCTGATATTTAAATCTCAATGGGTAAAAAAAATGTTTGCCAAGAGAACACTTTTAAAACCCACTTTATAGCATGCACCAAATTATCAAAATTATATTTGAATGCCTAAAACTTGCACTTTTTATATTTTTTCATGTATTTTTTCTGAGACACTGTTATTTGCTGCGAATCCCTTGCACATCTTAAAAGGTTCTGTGTTTTTTTTTAATATTTTGTGGGTGATGTTTGTTTATAGAACAGGGGTAGCTAGAATTAGGAGTCATAACTTGAAAGAGAAATTGAGTGGTACTTTTTTTTTTTTTTTTTAAATCAAGAAATATTTTGTAGAATGAGTTGTAGATACAAGGAACAGCCTTTGAGAGGAGATGGTAGTGACTAATAAGTGGAAACGTGAAATAGAAGTATACTGCAGAATCAAGCAAGAAACCAATTCAATATGAAAGCCAGTGTTATTTGCGCTCACATCCACTGAGAGGCTTTAATCTGCCCTAAAAAAAAACAATTCTATATATTTTAGGAAAAACTGAATACATTATAAAGTTGCTTAATAGTATTTGTGTAATGTGTTTTTCTAGAAGGAATGATGCCTTAAAGCAGGAGTGGTGATCACAAGGTTGCAACCCCCCAACTGTTGACAACCTACCATTTAACCACCCCTGCCTTAAAACGACAGTAATATTTAAGACTATTAAATCCCATGGTACATTAGATTTGAACCGAGTTGAAGGCAACAATATACATCTGATAGAACGGATCTTTATGAATACTGGAGCAATATTATATGTTCAGGCAGCACACAGAGGGACAAATAAGGCAATGCCAAGTTTCAGGATGCCTGTGAGGTACAAACCTTTTTAGATTTCATTCATACAATATGCATTTCATCTGTCCAGCAGTGCTGAACCCTGGCAATGACGAAGAGGAGCAGTTTTGAAGACGTGTTCATTTCGGTAAAAATACCCGTTTTATGGAGACCTTATGAAACTGAAGGACAGAAAGGTTTTGTATACAGTTAAAAGCCAGACAAAATTAATCCCCATGGTAATGCAAAATACAAAAACAGGACATCAAGAGATTACTCTTCATTATTTTATTTACATGTATGACAAAAAAAAAAAAAAAGATACCTGACCATTACCCTGCTTAACATTACAAAAATCACCCCTATAAAAATAACAGTTTTTCCCTTCAGTGCATGAAGCTTACTGAACACAGAGCTTTGGCCTAGATCAACGTGTATGAAATGGCAAACGAAGCATGTATCTGAGAGGGGAACTTATTCTTATGGTATATAATAGTAAACTTTTAAATAGATATAAGGAACTGGAATTTACCTTCCACGAGTAAGTTAAATAGGAGATACTCATTAGCATTAAGCTCTGGGGTGCAAAAAAGGGACTATTTCTACCTGACCAACATTGATAAATTATTAGATGAATTGGGGACGCAAAAAAAAGGACATGACTTTACCATAATATTGCACAAGGGTTTGAAGCCCAGTAATTAGACAAACATAGGCATGTAAAAAAGAAAGTACAAGTGCAAACTTATGAAATGGACAATAACAAAATTGGAGGAATTTGTGCCACCCCCCACAGGAGAAGAACACAAAAAGTGCACGAGGCCGGGAATTAATACATGTAAACTTCTGTTATTTTTTAAGCAGGATGGCATAATTTATATCGTAAATACTCAGTATCCTCCTCAGAGATAGTCTTTGAGCTTTTTGTAGCTTATATGTAACAGGACCAACAATAACATCTCGGATGTCCCACTTAGTGCCACCAGGAATGGAGCCTGAGAAGACAGGTCAGCCTCAGCACGTTGAAAAGAAAGTTGCAGGACTGCAAGGGCCAACAAGCTATTCTGTACCCCAACCTCTATGCTGACTGTTCGACGATGGGCAATGGGAAGCTTTAGACAAGATGCAAGTAGGTAGCCTGCATTCAATCCCACGAGAGGTACACTTAGTCCAGCTACCACCAGGGTAGTGGGCACCTGGCTTAGTAGAGAAGATCCCATCTGGTAGGCCATGACTAGTCCACCCACCATCAGTAAAACACTAAATGGCTTAATGAGGAGCAGCAGAAGCCGTGACACCTGGGGAAATTTCCATTTAATTACCATGCCTGTAGAGATCGGCACGGCTATGAAAAGCAGTGTGGCCAGGATCTTAAAGAAGGGTATGTGTAATGTCTGATGGACTCCAAGAAAATGTCCATAGAGAGAGGAAGAAAGTGGCATCAGGCCTACTGCAGCTACTGTAGAAACCAGGGTCATTGATATAGCTAGGGTAACATCACCACCCAACAAAAGGCTGTAAAGATAGCCCCCGCCACCACCAGGAGAAGAGCAGGTAACCACCAGTCCTAATGCTAGTGGCTGAGAGAGGCCGAGAAGCAAGGACAGGAGGTATGCGTATAGTGGCATCAACACAAACTGACCCAAAATTCCCAGTAGCACTGGGTGCGGCCGACCCATTAGACCCTTCAACACTTCCAGATCCACTTTGCATCCAAAGGCACATTTGTTAATAAAGAGTAGAGGCAGCAGTGCATAGAGGAGGGGACTTTCAGAGAAGTGACTTGCTGTAGACCCTGTATATTCTGGTGCTTCGCGGGGAACCACATGTATGGAAAAGTCCCCTCTTTCATCAATCACTGATCCTTGCTGTTGCAGTCGCAGGACAAGGGGTGCCATACCGGCCATGCCAGACTTGATTTGTGCCAGGAATTTCCCTGGCAATCCCTCAGCGCTACGGCTCACGTTCAAGATCTCAAGTACGGATGTATCCAGGGACAGGACGGTGAGGGTTGCACTGTGAGCAGCCGATCCAGCACTGATCACAATCACACCTCTGCTGTGTTCTGGAAAATCATACTGTAAGCAACAACCATCTCCAATCTGTAAAATTCCTGCAGATTTATGAGTGGGAAGGGGCAGGGAAGAGGACCACGTGCTGGGATTGGGAGGTGTGACAGAGAGAAAAGATAATCCCAATCCTTGATTAACGGCAGGAATGTCAGTGATGGAATCTGCACGCTGTTCAGACTCGTTGTGGTTTTCTGGAATGGCTTGTGTTAACGTGGTGGACAGCACACAGCCCAAGAAAATGAACCATGGGAAGCTCTGCATTGTGCAGTGCTCTTAAATTAATGTCACAAAGGTGGCCAGCACCCCATCTACACTCCCTCCAGCTATTATTGAAAGTGATGTCTGCAAGGTATACCTTGGGGTTTAAGTCTCATAAGGTCACCTCCTCACCTCCAAAATATGTTTCTAGATACAAGTCCCTCTGCTCTCACTCTTCTTTCAGGAGGTGCCTGTGTATTTAACCCCTTGCTGAGTCTCTAGATCTAACCTTGTTAGATCGGTGTTTCTGGGTCCAACCTTGTGTGGACCAGGGTCCAACCTTGTGTGGACCAAAGCTGTGTTTCTGGGTCCAACCTTGTGTGGACCAAAGCTGTGTTTCTGGACCCAACCTTGTTTGGACCAAATCTGTGTTTCTGGGTCCAACCTTGTGTGGACCAAAGCTGTGTTTCTGGGTCCAACCTTGTGTGGACCAAAGCTGTGTTTCTGGGTCCAACCTTGTGTGGACCAAAGCTGTGTTTCTGGGTCCAACCTTGTTTGGACCAAAGCTGTGTTTCTGGACCCAACCTTGCCTGGAGCAGAGCTGTGTTTCTAGGTCCACCCTTGCCTGGAGCAGAGCTGTATCTCAGGATCCAAGCTGTGGCTCAGTGTATAACTCTCTCTCTCTTGAAGCCTTTGTCTCCAGAATTCACCATGTCTGCCTCCAGTCAGTGCCTCCTGGTTGAGCAAGCAGTCTCTGTGTCAATGCTGGTATCTGGGTGTATCTCCTACACCTGTGTGCTGGCTGTGTGAGTGAATGTACTCATGTTTGGGTCCAGTCTGTCAATCTTTGCACTGCGCTGGCAGCTTCTACATAACATTTCTCCAAAGCCCACTCTCTGAGTGCAGACTCACTTTGGGTGGGTGAGTGTCAGCTCTTCAGCACCAGCTCTGCTCTCTGAAGGGCAGTCTCTTCACGTCTCTCGCACTGTCCCTCCAGCTGTCTCTGGCGCCGTCTCCGCCTCTCTCATGCTGACAGCCGTCCCTTCTCCCACTTTCACTCAACTGCTATTAGAGCTGAGCGGTCGCTCCCTTCCTGGTTATCACGTGACAGCCGCTAAACCACCTCCTACAACTGCACTTCCGGACTCTTGGCAGGCCGTTGCCGCGCGGCATCACGGGAGTTGTAGTTCCGAAAGCTTACATTAGCCACAAAGAGCAGTGCCCTCTGGCTTTGTCATGTTAAAATGCTGATTAATGTCATTGTTGACATTCTATGAGCTTGTAGGCATGAAAAAACACAAACTGTACTTCCTCTGTTATTGGGACCCATAGCTTAATGACATACATACAGACTATTCAATTTCTCTCTAAAGTGAGACTCATATGATAGGAGTTGAAAAGTTCATCCTGGGGAGGCGGGTAGTGTTATTCGCTATATACTAAGGATGGTTGGGAATTCACCAGGAATATTTAAAGTGGAACTGTGACTTTTCATTATTTCAGAAAGATATAATGTTTATGAAATACTAATCAAAACCGCGTTGGAAATTCACTGAAATTTCAACGCAATCCACAGATACCTTAAAGGGATACTATAGTCACCCAAAGCTGTGTTTCTCTGAAACCGCTATGTTTACATTGCAGGGTTAATCCAGCCTCTAGTGGCTGTCTTCCTGACAACCGCTAGAGGTGCTTCCGCGACGCTCAATGCGAAAACCGAGCACGCAAAACGTCCATAGGAAAGCATTGAGTAATGCTTTCCTATGGGCGGTTTGAATGCGCGCGGGGCTCTGGCCGCGCATGCGCATTCAGCTCCACTCAGGAGCTGACGTAGGAGTGGGAGGAGAGGTCACCAGCGCTGAGGGAGCCCGGTGCTGGATTAAGGTAAGTGTCTGAAGGGGTTTTAACCCCTTCAGCCCAGCGGTGGAGAGGACCTAAGGACTAAATAGTGCGAGGAAAAAAGGTTTGTTTTCCTGGCACTATAGTGGTCCTTTAAGACAAAGTAGGGACTACTTTATCTTATGGTAAAGCCTGAGGTGGTCAAAAGGTGGAGCATTGCTGTTCAACTCTTGTCCAATCCCAGCAGCTGCCTCAAATGAAGGCTGTGGGATTCCGACTCTGTGTGTGGAGGGTGTCGTGGGATCCTCCATAGACCTCAGTGTTGTACTTTTGCGAATGCACGAGAAAACAACACATGGCCCCTGGCAACTCAAGCGCCAGGAGCCGAGTAAGACAACAACATGCAAGGTACAGCCTGTGGTAAGTAAAACTTACCTCCCCTGCACCCTGGAGCCACATCAAATCTGTCATTTTAGGGGTCATTGCGATGTATGCAAAAAAATAATAAAGTGATAGACCTGCTTTAAAAAGCTGCAGTCATTTCTCTATGGGAAAAACAAGGAAACAAACCAAATACCTTTGCAGCCTGTCTGTACCCAAAGTAAAATTATTAGCCCATGATGTGTCTGATACTCGCATATCTGCACAGAATACATAGGAGTGCATGTGGGCTCCCTACATACTGCATTACATGCACATGTGCCCTCATGTACGGTACGGAGGAGTTAATTTACATCGTCCGTCTGTGCCAGGACTGCTAGTCATACAATGTAAATTTAAAAATGAATAAACTTTAAAAGGGACACTATAGTCACCACAACCACTACAGCTTAAAGGGACACTCCAGGTACCCAGACCACTTCTGCCCATTGGAGTGGTCTGGGTGCCAACTCCCACTACCCTTAACCCTGCAACTGTAATTACCTTGCAGGGTTAACTCCACCTCTAGTGGCTGTCTATTAAACAGCCACGAGAGGGAGTGAGGACCTCCAGCGTCGCTCAATTCCCCATAGGAAAGCATTGAAAAGCATTGGCGAGTTCTAATGCGCATGCGCGGCTGACGTAATCACTGGGAGGAGCGGCGGCGAGCAGAAACCACCGCAGAGGGACATCGGCGGGGTCTCAGGTAAGTGACCTGAAGGGGTTTTCACCCCTTCAGCTACCAGGGGATGGGGGGTGGGAGGAAGAGGGGACCTGCAGTGCCAGGAAAACAGATTGTTTTTCTGGCACTGGAGAGTCCCTTTAGTGTCGTTTTTCTGGTGTCTATAGCCTGTCCCTGCAGTGTTAGCACTGTAAACACTGCCTTTTCAGAGTAAAGGAAGGGAGTGTTTACGTTGCTGCCTAGTAACACCTCTAGTGACAGTCAATCAGATGGCCACTAGAGGTGCTTTCTAGTCCAGTGCTGCACAGTGTGTCCACACTAGGCATGGAGGTGCTGAACTTCCCCATAGAGATGCATCGATTCAATGCATTTCTATGGGAAGGTGCTGATTGGCACAGCATGGTGTTTTGCTCTGCATGCGAAATAACCTCCCCAATTCTTTCATATGGGAATGCATTGGATTGGCTGAGATAATCAAGATTGATGAGCACAGAGAGGGGGTCAGTCACCTAACCAGCCACTTCAGCACTACAGTGTCAGGAATAGATGTTTGTATTTCTGACACTATAGTGTTCCTTTAAGTTAGTTATGGTTTTGTGAGAATAACACAGATGCAAAAGTTGGACAATGTTTATATTGGGAAGGTGTTAAAAGACCACTGAAGTCACCAAGACCATATTATCTTGATGTAGATGACTGGGTTGAGTGGTCCTGTCATTTAAACCCTGCAATTTAAAACATTGTGTTTCTTCCTGACAGCCACTAGAGGCGCTTCCGCTGCACTGACCACTCATGTGAGGTTGTATCTCACAGGAAAGCACAGAATTCAATGCTTTCCTATGAGAAGTATTTAGAAACAAAGCGGGACTCACTGTGCATCAGTTTCTAATGCTCTTCTGTGAGGAGTAATGGATTGGCCATTGGTTTGAGAGCTGCATGACATCCCGGGAGGCGGAGCAGCCTGCAGCACTGAGGGAGTCTCAGCGCTGGAGTTAAAGATAAGTAAAAACTCCAAAATGGAGGGAGGGTTTGACAACTTACCTGGAGTCCAGCTGGGTAGCTTGGCACCGGTCTGAGCACGGAGGTGCAGGGAGACACTCATTGGCTGAGAGCACACTGCTGAAGCTAATGAGGTGGACCTGCACTCAGTGGAATTAACAGAAACTCCTGCAAGGCTCCAATGGAAGGGGTTTCTAACAGCATGGCTTGACTACTGCAATGAGACGGCCCAAGGGCACTTTTGGCACAATAACCACTACAGGGGCTGTAGTGGTTATAATACTTGTGATGTTCTTTTAATTGTATGTATTTTTGACATATTTTAGTCAATATATTAACTTACTACAATTTAGAGAATTCAGTGGTTAAAGGGACACTATAACACATTTATCTCATTGAATTGTTCATTGTACCTGGAGTCTCCTGACAGTGTCACTTCACTGAATGTTAAATCATTTTCAAGCAATTTAACAATGAATGAGGTCCCAGACCACCAACAACCCAGCCCCCACTGGAGGCATGGCTAAGGCAGAGATTATACACCCCTGCCATGCCAATTCATAACTGCAATGGGAGGCTGTGAAAGGCTGCAAGAGTCAGATGACTCCAATTATCAATGCTTAGAGTAATGCTAACTCATTAGCCTCAACAGCACAGAGGGGATAGGCTTCTGGGGATTTCTTATTTAGCATTAAACCAGTTTAACACTGAATGGAAGGACAGCGCCACGGGACTCCGGATACTAAAACCACTTCAGATGAAGAAGTTGCAGTGTCTACAGCTTCCTTTTAACCCTTTGAGCGCCTTAACCCCTTAAGGACCAAACCTCTGGAATAAAAGGGAATCATGACATGTCACACATGTCATGTGTCCTTAAGGGGTTAAAGGAATGGATTGCAAGTTGTGTAGCTCTCTAACAATTTATACAAAATTGTCAAGTGTAACGGATCAGGAGGTCCATGTCCGTTTCCTCTGCCTACCCCTGTATTCATAACTGTGAGAGTGGGAGACAGGTGGGTTTCTTCAGCAAACACGGAACTATAGTGAATTATTATTATTTATAAAGCACCAACAAATTCCGCAGCGCTGTACGATGGGTGAACTAACAGACACATATTTGTAACCAGACGAATTGAAAAACAAAGGCTATAATATCAGATTTGGAAACAGTTCAGCTATTGTCACAAGTTTATTTTTAGCCTGTATGGGCAAGCCTGTAATTGTGTTAGGCGTTACCCGGACTATAAATACACAGGCCGCCCCTTCCTCTGGGCTGAGACTGTCTTGTTCAGTACAGATCCATCTACTTCAGGTTCAAAGGTCATCAACACAAACTACCTAAACTCTAAATAAGCCGGTCTGGCCTAGTGTGGCCCACGCAAGTATTCATTTTACCTCTAGTAAATAACAGCCGCCTCCTACGAAGCTCATGGGGCACTGCCGATCCGGCCCAGACACGGATTTTCCTGTTGTTGTTTGCGCGTTTATTACATTATAATAATAATATTACTATTATACTGTGTTTAAATACAATAAATAAATAAAACTAAATAGAATACCAGAGCATCACTACTGTCCATACGCAATTCACAGTCCATTTCTACAACTATGGTACAATTAACCTACATTTGTTCATGCCATAATTATTACTTTACATACACCCTATTATACACCCGGCAGCTCAAGACTTACATTTGGTAATATTGGCCTTCCACTACAATACCTCTACACGTGGCCCTTACTAGGCCTTCACTCCATATATTACATATGGCCCTCTGTGGGCAACCCAATACGACACAATTTTTGTCACACATTTGGGAAATTACATACATTTCCCGCTTTACAAAGGTCAACTACAACCCTGTCATACTACGGTTCAGTATTCCTCTCAGCCTTGTTATGTCCATGCAATTGCTTCCTTTATGACCCTCTCTCTGCACTACTGGGAACCAAGAACCCATCATTACACATTTGACCATATTCAGGCCTCCTCTGTCTGTCACGGTTTTACCTAAGCCTTGTATAATCCACAACTCCTGACACATGCACTTACTAGATCTTACATATGTTGCTTCCTGCTAGCATACTAGAGATGTTCCGATCTTTCTCATACATACTTCAGGTCTTTCTTTCATATCCATTTTGACAATCATAAGTTCTATTATCTAGGTTTCTACAC